TTATTTTAAAAACAGTTTTTAAAAAAAAATAGAAATCAAACAAGCCTAAGATTAGATTTCAGGAAATTGAAATTTTTTTTGACCGCCTAAATAGGTCTAAAACAATATGAGGCAAGCCAAACTGGATTTAGACTAAGCTCAAATACTTGATATTTTATTTTTTATTTTTAAAAAAAATATATTTGAAAATTCTTATAATCTCTCTTAATTTTGAATAGACTCATATAAGTTATAGTTTAATCAAACTTTTATAATTTGAACTATTATCTTTCTTAATCACTTAAAGCTAAAATTATTGAATTTTTATTTTAAAAATTAAAATTAAGAACTTTTATATTTTTATTAAAAGACTATAATAACTTTACAACTAATTACATAATTTTGTTAACTCAAAATTTATATTATTAAGTCATATCTTCTAAATAATTTTTATACATATAAAATTTCTGTAAAAAATTAATAAAAATGTGAATATTGTATTAAATTGATTTTTTTATCAAAAATGTTAAATCAAATTTTCTATAATTTTTAAAACTATGTTTTTTTTGAAAAAGTTAATTACTTATTAATAATTTTAACAGATTGTTCTGAGAATATTTTGTGGATGCAGTTGCGTTGAAAGACTTCGAGTCCCTCCTGAAAGTCTCAAATGTTGAGAGGAAAATGATGCAATGAATTGTTAGATTTTTATGTCCTCATAGATGGACGGGATTTTGCCCCTCTATGAACATTTCTTTTACTCCATTAATTTAATATTATAGGATATTTTAACTGAATTATATTTTAATAAATTAATTAATTATCTTTAAAATTATACATTTTTCTATATTTGCTTTTATTTAATAGGATATTTCTATTAAAAAAACCTTATTAATCACAAATTTACAAAAGGTATTTATAGAAAAAAATCATTAATTACACACTAAAAAACTGAAAATATCATATACTTTCTTGATCCTATTTGTAAATTATTTCTAACATATTTTATTAGAATTAAAAAAATTTAAAAAATTATTAATTCTGTTTAAAAATTTAATAAATTTTTAACTTTATTCCTACTAAATATACACACTTTAGCAATACATTTTCTTCCCCCAAAATTCAATGGAGAGTAAAAAAAATTGTGATAAAAATTTATTAACATGACTTATAAATAAAATAAAATATTATCTCCATACCTTATAAATAAGATCAAAAGGATTATTTTTTAATATCTTAAATTAAAAAATATTTTATATTTTTGACAGAGTTTTTTTTTTTTTGACGCACAAGAGTTACTCACGTGGCTCCATGTATTTAGCGCGAGGACCTATACGCCTCACATAGCAGGATAAAGCTAACGATACATGTGGAAAGAATAGAAAAACAAGTAGAGGATATAAAGAAAATTAATTAGTACACGTAAAAGCTCAAGGGAAGAAAAAGCAGCACAAATGGATATTTAAAGAGGAGATAAAGAAGAGAAAATGGGGGAGGAGAATAATGATATGCTTTTTTTAATTATAATCCTACTGCATTCTTGTTGAGAGAATGGGTTCAAAACAAAAAAAAAAAATATGAAATGCTGGTTCCTCAAATTCTGAAAGCAATACCTTGGGGGATAGATAAAAGTGAACAACATAGATAAAAATAATTAATTAATTAAAAAAACAATACCTAGAAAACATGAGCTGATCATGAGTATATTAACATATTCAATTATTTATAATAATTGTTTTATATAAAAATATTATAGTTATATGATTCCAGATGAGAATGAGTCTCAATCATAACAAAATTGACAAGTAATGGTAACAACTAACATTTTTGTTTCATCATACTCTACAAGATTCTAAGCTCGACACAAGTGATGATAAACTCTACATAATCTATCATTCTTCAATGTTAGTAGCTCAATAATTTTGTTTACTTCCTCAATTTTTTATTCAATCAACCCTTATACGCCTAATTGATCATTTAGGGAAGATGTTGTGTGGTGCTTAATTGGGAGATTTGACCAACTGCGAAAACTTATTGGAATTTTATTTAAAAAAGATTTAATCATTAATTTTTTCTAACTTGCTTATGGAATTAAGACATGATTTTGTCACGTGTTTTTAAGTTGATGAGGGGGTGATTTTCATTGATTTTCACCGATTATTATTCCTTCATTTATTATTGGTTTCACTAATTGCTTAGTGAAATTATACATTCTAGTTATGACTCCATGGTAACCTTTTTTTTGTCAACTTTTTTCTTCAATCCAAGCAATAAGTACGGCTTTTTTGCTAAAATATATACTTGTAATTGTTTTTCTACCATATATAATTTCACTTCTACTATGCCCTTGTAGTGATGGCCCATCTTATATTTTATTAGGTAAATTCTTGAGTATTTGAATATGTTGAATTGTAATGACAATTTTTATTTGAGAAATCACAACTTTGATTGTGCATATGATTAAAACAAATTAGAAAGTGGTAACTACGTTACTCAAATAAGTTAAATCCTAAAAGCTTTGATTATTTTAATTTCAAAAATGGCAACTTCAATGCCACTTATCACTGGTGATTAAAATAGATTAGTAAATTACAACTAAGTTACTAAAAAAAATTTAACAGTCAAGTTTAATCTTGAAACCTCAATGATTATTTTAATATGGGAAGTGACAATTTAGATTGTGCCAAATCATATTTCAAAGCATAACCTCTTTTATATTTTGTTATTCCACCATATCATAAGCCTTCATAAGGTCTACATTTGAGGGTCAACTCAAACTTCTTATATATCCAACTCAAATTTACATGTAATGCATTTTTACTCCACGTGGTGGTTTTTTATTAAAAAACAAAAAAAGAAATGAAAAACCATGTGAATTTAAATATGTTTAAAATGGTATAATAATTCTGGAATTAAAAATGATATAATAATTCTTACCTTTTTCATATTAAGACAAAAGTTAATATAAATATAATGTAGATGAAAAAAGTCACAAAGCTACAGGATTACAAAACCATGTGAATTCAAATATAGTTAATAATTGGATAAATGATTAAATTACTTTTTAAGTTTTAAATTCAATAATGTCATAGGTTTTAAACTCATTTATTATATAAATTATTCCCTCAACTTTTGAAAAGAATGTAATCTGACTTTTGTCATTAACAAAAATTAACTTTGAACGTTGGTTAACTTAAAAAATATAAAAAAATAACCTTAAAAATTATAGAAAATGATCAAAAAATTATAAAAAAGGATTCAAAAATAACACATAATGACTCAAAAAATTATAGAAAAACCATAAAAAAATTTGGTCATTTTCTAATTAACTAAATGTCCAAGTTAACTTTTTGTTAATAGTAGGGACCAAATTGCACACTTTTCAAAAGTTGAGGGAACAACTTGCACAATAAATGAGTTTAGGATTTAAGATACTACTAGACCTAAAGTTTAAAAGAAAATTTTCTCATTTATCCCTAATAATTCTTCCAAGATTTTTGAATAATGCATGAATAATGTTTTCACCTTGAAATTTTTAATACATTTTCGAAAATAATATCTAAGCTGAGTTTAATCTATCATGTTTTTGTAATTGAAAGAATACTGGAGGTTGTTTGCTTATAATTTAATGATGTTCTAAGCTAATGAGAGAAAATAGGAAGGAAAAAAAAAAAGGGTAGAAGAGAAATATGGAGAGATGTGATTTTCTCTCCTTATGTCCGGCTGAGCAAGAAAAAACAATGAGGAAAGAAAAATTGCTAATTTCATATAAACAATAATAATCTTATCCTTTGTAAAAAAAAACTATATATAATAAAATTTAATATTTTAACATACTATTTATATAATTTCCATTATATATTACTAATTTAATAAAAAACAATTGTAAATTATTTTATCTAGTACTAGAAAAATATTTTTTCAATTTTAAATTTTATTTCATAAAATATTAAATATATAATAATTTGAGAAATTTAAACTACAGCTAGAATGCAAGGTACTTAAGAAAAAATTTACCTCAAAATTTAAAATTAATATTTTTCAAATTACATTAAAATTAGTATTTAGAATTAGCAAAAGGGCGAGAGACAAAAATGTTTATAGGCAAATTGTAAACAGAGTTTTCTCTCCAAAACCTCTCCATTTTTTAAGAGAAAAATATATGGGACCTACATGTTATTTTTCTCACCCTCTCCCTTCCATTTTTTCCCCCTTAGCTAAGCACAGAAAATGTAGTTCTTGCCCCACTTTTTTTTCCTCACTTTTCTCTCGAGGCACAATCTAAGAGATTTATTTTAAAATGATAAAGAATACAAAATATTATACATAATACTCTCTCTGTCTTAAATTATAAGACATTATTAGATAAAATATTATATATTAATAAACCTCATTAAATACACTTAACAATCTTATCTTTTTAAAATAAAAATATAAACTTTCAAAAATACCCATTATTTAATATATTGAGAAGAGAAAAGATTAAAATTAATTATAAAAAGAGAAAGGACAATATTGAAATTGATGCATTTAATAAAAATTTAATCTACTTAAAGCGTTTTATATTTTATGATGAAGAAACTTCTTCAAAAGTGCTCTAAAATTTAGGATGGAGGGAGTATAATTTTTATCATATTATGTAACCTCCAAATTTCACACCAAAAAACCTATCCTAATATCAGCTTGCTTTTACTCATTAACACCTATCAATGGTTATGATTAGAAAAGTGGAGGAAAAATGATGATAAAAAATGGACAAGTTCCACTTTATAAAAATCTATTTGTTTTCCATTTACAACAAAGAAAAAAAAAACTTTAAGATCAAGAGATTCCAAGTCAAATAATTAATCAATTAGTTAGACCTGATTAGATATAATAGAAGAATTTTTATAGGATTGAAATCAAAATTAAAATAAAATTAAATTATAAAAATACGTTTGATATGGAGATATAATACAAATATAATTTTAACAAATACACATGTTTAAAATACAGAAAGACGCTGGAGGTGAAGAAGAATATTGAGTTGCCAATTCAAGAGACTCCTCATCCAAGTAAACCCCCTGATCTGAAAGAGCAAATGTTAGTAGATACAAGGGGTAAAGAGGATATGAAGGAAAATCAGGAATGCTGGTATGACATGGAATCAAGTGATAGAGAGAGTAGACAGGGTGCTAATGGTGAAGGCGACACGAGAAAGCCCAATGCATAATGCCCAGGTTCTAGCATTTCTTTTCCTTTATATTTATGAATTTACTAGCCTGGAATTGTAGGGGGCAGCCTCCAAAACTTTTCATCTAAGGATGAGAGACTTGCTTAAAGACTCCAATGCAAAAATTCTTGCCCTATTAGAAACGTGAATAAGCGGCAGTAAGGTTGATAGGATTTTATGTAGATTGGGTTTCTTAAATTGGATGTATGTTAAAGCTACGGGTTCTGCGGGAGGGATTTGGCTTTTGTGCAATGAGACTAAGACTTTAATTGATTTTATTTCCTCTACCACACAACTCCTGCACTGCTGTACCACAGATCTGCAAACCAATGACAAGTCTCTTTTGACATGTATCTACCGAGAAACAACTCATACTCTAAGAAAACATCTATGGGCAGATTTGGTAAACTTGAGCAAGAATATTTCTATCCCCTGGTTGGTAGTAGGGCATTTCAATGCCTATTTGAGTGTTAATGACAAGTCGGGTAGTCAACCTAATTGTATTTCTATGAAACACTTTAATGATTGTATTATGAGTTCGGGTTTGACAGAGTTGGTATATTCTGGAGAAAGATTTACCTGAGAGAGGACTGGTTTAAAAGAGAGGATTGACTGGGCTTTTGGTAACATTCATTAGCATCTAAAAAATCCTCAAGGCTTTGTCCAACACCGCCAGAAATTTGGATCCAATCATAGGCCTTTACTAATTAACGAAGGCACCTCACTAGCTAATGTTCAAAGGAGGAAGCTCTTTAGGTGCTATGCGGGGTGGTGTCTTGAAGAGGACTTTGTGGACATAGTCAAAGAAGCTTAGGAAAATGATACCTAGGAAGGGAAAATTAGCAAATTCGAGACTACTGCAAGAGCTTGGAATTCCTTTAGGCTAAGAACATCCCTACCAGGAAGAGAAAACTTCTCTATAGAATTGAAGGGGTTGAAAATGCTAGAAGAAGAAAAGACTCTTAATACCTTCAAAAGATAGAAAAGGATCTCTGGGATTAATTTAATCTGATAAGGATCCAAATCAGTTTAGGAGACCACTATTAACTTATCATCGTAGAAAGAAGAGGAAGATAGTTGAAATTGATGCTGTCATGCATGTTTTAAGGGATTTGTCTGATTTAAATTAATTGTTGCTGTTATTTTATTTGTTATTTGAATTGTTATTCTGTTAGTTGCTAAATAATAGGACCTCAAGGCTGTTAGGGAGGTTCCTGCGAGTAGTTCCTAATTTTTAGGCTAATATCTTGCATTATTTGAATTATTCAGTTGTACTCTCTTATTTTAAATATCCTAGCTCCCATACACAGCAGGATAGGAATGAAGAAATAATTCCATTATTCCTTTGGAGATTCTCCTACTTGGCTGTTAAGTTATTTAGAGTGAGATCCTTGCTCTAGCTAACTTAACAGATTACTTTTCCTAATCCCTACTCTTCTAAGTCCCTATCATAATCTCACCCTCCAACAAGAAGAACTTCTTTGTTACCAAAAATCTAGATGTCATTGGCTAAAATGGGGGGATCAGAATAGCCATTTCTTTCATGCTTCAACAGTTATGAGAAGGAAGAAAAATGTGATTGGGGCCTTGAAGAACAGTGAGGGAGTTTGGGTTGAAGGGCACAATAATTTGAAGACCTTGGCTAGTAGTTACTACCATGATCTATTTGCGTAAGGGTAGAGCTGCAATCTTCATACGAATGCTAGATTTCCAACTATCACATTGTCTGAATTGATAAGCTTCACAAAGATGTCTCTAATGCTTATATAAAAGAGGCTTTATTTGATATGGGGGCTTTTAAGGCTTTGGGGCCAGATGAGATCCAAGCCTTCTTCTATCAACAGTACTGGGAAATCGTTGGGCAGTCTATTTGTAATCTTGTTAAGGATGTCTTTAGAGAACCTTCCAAAGTAAACAACCTGAACAAGACTCATTTGGTTCTCATTCCTAAAGTGGATAAGGTGGAGAATATGAATGATTTGAGACCTATTTCTCTCTATAATGTCAGCTATAAAGTTATCTCTAAAATAATCACTAATCGACTCAAGCCTCTCATAGATAAGGTGATTAGGGAACATCAATATAGCTTCATTGCGGGAAGACAAAGCAGCGACAACATCATCATTGTGCAAGAAGTTGTACATTCTATGAGGACCAAGAAGACTAAGAAAGGTTTTGTAATTGTGAAGGTTGATCTTGAGAAAGCTTATAATAGAATTGAGTGGCCCTTCATCAAAGAGACCTTGGAGCTGTTGGGGGTCAATGAGAAGCTAATTAAGATTATTATGGCTTGTGTCAGTAGTGCATTCTTTCAAGTTTTATGGAATAGGGATACAAGTGAGGAATTCAAACCATCTAAAGGTTTGAGACAAGGGAAACCCATGTCACCTTATCTCTTTACCCTGTGTATGGAACGCCTTAGGCATGTGACTGAAGATGAAATAAGAGACAAGAATTGGCACCCTATTAAATTAAAGACAAAAGGTCTAAATATCTCACATCTTTTCTTCGCTGATGACCTTGTCTAATTTGGAGAAGCTTTGAAAGAGAAGGTGGAGATTATGAATAAATGTATTGAGAAGTTCTGTGAAGCTTCAGGATAGAAAATGAACAGAGATAAAACTAGAATGTGTTGCTCCAAGAATGTCCACTTCTCCAGAGCTTATGATCTAAGTAAACTTTTGGGAGTAATGCTGACTGGGATCTAGGAAAATACTTGGGAATTACTCTTATCCATAGTAGGGCAACCTATAGTCTCTTTGCCCCTGTTTATGGTAGAAAGAGGAAACGGCTATCTTTATGGAAAGGGAAATTCTTGACTATGGAAGGGAGAGCTATCCTTATCAAATCAGTTATCTCAGCAATGCCAAGCTATTATATGCAAACTATGCTTCTTCCTAACAAACTCTTCAATGAAATTGAGAAGAAGTGTAGAAGTTTTCTTTGGGGAAATTTTGATGTTCAGAACAAACTCCACCTTGTTTCTTGGGCTAATATCATCCAAGACAAAGCTAAAGGGGGGCTGGGTGTGAAGGACCTTAAGAAGCAAAACCAAGCTTATGTAATGAAACTTTGCTGGAATTTTCTCACCCAACCATCTAAACTTTAGGTCCAAGTTTTAAGGAACGAATATAGATGTGGGGAGGAGGTTGTCCCTGAGGTGGTACACAAGCAGAATGCATCAATTACATGGAGGAGTATAGTTAAAGTTTGGGATCACTTCAAAGAAGGAGTGGAAACTCGAATCAATACTGATGTTAATAATTTTTTATCGACTAATAGATGGCTCGATAACCACTCAAGACTCATTTACAGGGTGCCTATGCCAAGAAGGGGTATTAATTTGGAAGATAAAATCACTTATTTCATTCTTCCTTCAGGAATACGGAACTTCTTTAAACTGAGAGAATTGCTTCCACCAGATGTGGTTGACACCATTGTTCACACTTTTCCTATCAAAGAGAGAGGGAGAGGAGTTACTTTTATTTGGAAACACTCACGGGATGGGATTTTAACATCAAATTTGCCTATCTTTCCTAATTTTTAGGTACAAGCACAGCGATTAATTTCAAATGGAAATTAATTTGGAGACTTAATGTACCAGAAAACCTTAAAACACTACTTTGGTTGATTGCTAATGAAGCTGTGCATACAAAATCCCTCAGACACAGACGTGGTTTGAGTGAGGAAGCTTGCTGTCCGAGAGGTTGCATGGATGAGGAGAGTATACTTCACCTTTTTAGAGATTGCAAGGAGGTGGAATTCAAGTGGAGGATGCTGATCAATGTGGATAAATGGAATGAGCTCAAGAGAGGCAACACGCAAGAACGGCTTGAATGGAATCTAAAAGCTGATGCAAGAAACTTATAGGTGAATCTACTTCCTTGGTGTCAAATGTTTACTTACATGTGTTGGGACCTATGGCTTGACCAATGCTAATAGGCCTTCAACAGAGAAGAATACCAAGGTGCTGCTTCTGCTAACAAAAGTATCTTCAAGGCTAAACAAGCTTTTCAGACGTTTAACATGCTGGAAGGAAACCTTTCTGATAGGAAATGTCGTAATGACCCTCATATGCAACACCAAAAGTTTCCATGTCACTTAGTTAGAGGGGAAACCTGTCAAAATGATATGTCTATTAGGGCTGGAATTATTAAGGGTCAAGATTAGGAGTGGGTTTATGGATTTAATGCCGTTAATGTGTTCTTTGCACATGACATCGCTGTAATTAATGCTATCAGAATGGGTTTACAAGCTTGCGCGAACAGGGGAATTCAAAATGCGGAAGTCTATGTTCAGGATGCCCAATGTTACAACCTCCTTACATGTGATAATCTGATTGGCCATCCTTTTTTTTGGTGTTATTCGTGAAACTAGATTGCTGCTCAATCAATTTGGGAATGTTTTCTTCTCATCTTACATTGAGGCTGATAACCAGCATTTATATAATCTTATTAATGTAGGACTTAGCTCTGGCAATTCTTTTTGGTCATCTGATCATCAACTCCCTCGTTTTATAGAGGTAGTAAATGATGAGAGGTTTTGATCTCATTGTGCTTTGTACATAGTTTTCTATCTGGAAATATATAGTATCATATTTCATCCAAAAAAAAAAAATACAGAAAGACAAAAATGCCCTTTTAAGAGAAAATGGAAAATCTCTCATTCATCCCTCCCCTTCAAGAGACATACATGAACCAGAAGGCAACAATGAACCTCAACTAAAATTATATCAATATTTAATTTCAAAAACAAAGACCCTAACTTTAGGAATCAACATACACCATTGTTGAACCTGCGACAAAGGTGAGTAGCACATATCTTCGGTCTTCCTTTGGTGAAGATGTTATGAAAAATATAAAGCTCCATCCTCCTCGGTGGGTTGCAGTCGTCCTCCTTGGTGGTTCACAATGGATCGTGGTTGTCATCTGTAGTGGTTCATGGTGAGTCGACAAGGCCATGTGAAGAAATTTTGGGACCTATGACAAAAATTATTGAAGAGGCTTAATATAGTGTTGTTCATTTATCTTCATATAATTTTTCAAGTTGTTTGAGCTGTAAAATCACATATTAAAATTTTGTAATCAAATAATTTTAACATTTTCAATTTTAAAGAATAATGTAACTGATTCATTTAATCTATTTTATAACATAGTTGATCTTAAAAAATATTTAAATAATTTTAATTTTGAGAAACTTCTTTTACCATTAGCAACTATTGATGGCATTGTCAATAATATTTTATACAGGATATAAGCTCGCAATGAATTTTTAATGAAAATATATAATAAACATTTATGCTTAATAGGAATGTTACGATGTTTGAAATTTATTTTTCAGATCAAGCAATAGAAACTCTTGCAAACTCAAAATTCTCATAGAGAGATACTACTATCAATGAAACGAGAAAAAACACTGATGAAAAAAAATAGGGGGTGTTGGGGGAATCATTAGAGGGGAAAATAGAGAACGGAATTGGCAAGAAAAGAAAGAAGGAAAAGAGGGTGGAAAAGAAAAGAAATGCAGTTCTTTATTGAGATGAAAGGCTTATGAAATCTAAACGAACATAATAATGAATAATAAATATTCTAATAATATCTAATGAACACACAATATTTTCTAAATCTCAATAGAATAAATCTTTATAGATAATATATATTAACAAAATAAATATTCATCTCAACACTCCTCCTCAATCTCAAAATGCTCAAGTTTATAACAACTTATATCACTTGATTTGAAAAATGCATGATATAGAGAAGCTTCAAAGAAAGCAAATATGAATTTGAGGTGATCCTTTTATACATGAATCATAAATCATTACTAAACAAAATCTCAGAGTAATTGTCAAAAGATAAATCACTAGGCAAAAAACTCAAAGGTTATTCTCAGATAAATGAATCATTAAGAGAGAAACTTAGGAATAATTCTCATATAAACAAATAATTTGGAGGAAAAATTTGGGAGTGATTCTTGGAGGAACCAATCACTAGGCAAGAAGCTTAAGAGTAATTCTCATCAAAAGAATGAATCACTAAGCAATAAACTTATGAGTGATTTTTCAATAAATGAATCACTAAGTAAAATCTTAAATTAAACCGTCAAAATATTAAAAGAGGAGAAGGGAGGGCTAGAGCCTTACTATACAAAGCCACATCCTTAGCAAAATATCAAAACTTGATTAACTTGGTTCCAACACCATGAAAGAAGCCAGAGAGGAGGAATGGAGACTGAAAAAGGCTATGTTTACAATATATAGATTAACTTCATAAAAACTAATGAACATCCTAATAATATTTAATGAATACAAAATATTCCATAAATATCAACAGAATAAATCTTAATAGATAATATGTATTAACAGAATAAACTCAATAAGAAAAATAATGATAAGTTATATAAAATATAAGCAAATATTTTTTGAGGTCTAAGACGATAACCTTAATGGCCTAACACTACACACGGGCATGTGGGTTGGGGTTGTCCTCCTTTAAGAGTGGTGGCTGTTGACAAATCTGGAAGAAGAATGTGGTTTCTCGTCCACGTTGGAGGAAGAGGAATTCGGCATCTAGTATTGCTAGTGGATGGAGGAGAGGCAAAATGGAGAGAGGGACACATATAATTAAAAAACACAGCGAAGATGATGGAATTGAATTCTTAAAAATCATGTTTATTGCATAACAAGCATGCTTGTTAATGAATTCCATTTTTAGTTCCATTTCCTCCTTCCTGATTCCAAGTTACCAAAGATGATCTTAAAACTTAATAATAGGATTAACAATCAAATAAAAAAAATTCAGTTTTTCTAAGTAATATTTCATCTTTAAATTGTAAGATTATGAATAAAATAACCATTATTAGAACTTCTTTACCGGGGAGAAAGACATTTTCGGCCATCTCAAGAGAATTTATAACAATAAGGCCATCAAATTTGTATTAAATGTAAAAACACATATATGTTATTGTTAAAAGCCAAATCTTAACTTGTATTTTTTGTCAAGGCTTTTTTAAAAATTTAATAAGTTAAGATCAGTTTTTAACAACAATATATACATGTTTTTACAAGGAAATATTCCATGAAAAATTTATAGGCTTTTATTGTGATAAATTCTCTTTAAAGGGCCTTAAATGTCATTCTTCCTTTTTATTATTTAGAATACAATGTTTAAATTTACAACATTGTTAAGTAATTTACACTTTACTAAAAATATTGGTTGAAATCTTGATTTCCTTAAAATATTTATGTATTTCTATATATGCCTTTACAAGGGTTCCTAGTAATTAATGCATGATTTTTAAATATGAGAATTTAAAGACAAGTAAAAAACAAGGGTATACATAAAAAAGGATTAATGAGCATTCTAAATTTTGAAGTATTGCACAAAAAACGTTCTAGATTCTAAACTCTTAAAATGTACAAAAGAGATTTTAAATTTTTAAATTCATAACAAATTAAATCCCACTGTTAACTTACCATTAACATTGTTATTATTCATCAAGTGGGACCTAGTTAAAATACTAATGTGATAATCCCTTATTGATGTGTCATTGTTAATGAGTAACATAGGCCCTAAATTATTACGCGAGTAACATCCTAAACCTTAAACTTTAAAATTTTATTTTATATATTTTAAAAATTTAGAATTCAGAGTGTTTTTCGTACAATACTTCATATTTTAAAATGCTCATTAACTCATGAAAAAAATATAAAATTTACCTAATGTTTTATACTCCCTTTATTTTTATTTGTAATAAAAACTGTTACTTTTAGTTTATTTTTTAATATTAGTAAAATCATATTTTTAATAGACATTTTTATAAATTTCCTCAATTATCTCTCATAATTTTATCATTCATAATAATAAAAAATAATTAATAAAAATTTAATTAATATAATTAATAAATGATATTATAATTTAATTTTTTTTATTTTTAAAAATAATTAATATAGTTACTTAATTTCCTTAAATTATGTGATAAAATTTTTTTTATATAAATAAAAACAAAAGAAGTATTTTAGATCAATGAATGTGTTCAGAAAATGACTTGAAGGGAATAAAAAATAAAAAATAAACTCGATCTCACGAAAGTCTACCCCTTGAATCATGGCCAATTTTTTCACAAATAAAATAATGGTTCAATTATTAATCAGATAGAGAAATTAATGTACATGTAATAATGTGCATTGACTTTACTTGGGCCTACAGTTTCAAGAATTGACCTAGGATCGCCTACTTTCCTTTGGACAACTTACACTTTTTTATTAGTCTTCGTCCACAAATTTATTATTCAAAAATCAAATCCTCCTGAACATGCAATGTTTAAAGACAAAGAAAAATTACTGTACAAATTAAAAGTATCATGTTAAAGGTCAGACAAATTAGCTAATATTATGGTTTCCATTCTAGTACAGCTGCCAAGCTTCTGGATTTCCTTGGAGGCCTCATATTATATCAAAAGGAATTTTTTTTTCAAAGATTAATGTTTTTTTATATTCAATGAAAGCGCCAATGGCCAATCCCAATTTCATCAGAGAGAACTCTCAGTCTCACTTCTTCTTTTTTTTTTAAACACCATCAAAAAAAAATCATAGAACTCATAATAAAATGTTTTAGGATCATTTTTTATTATATTTTTAAAGAGGCTAATATATATGCATTTTGATCTATATTATAAGATACCTTACAAACAAGTTTTGTATTTTTAATATAAGATACTTAATGAAGTATTGATTATATTTTTTTAATATTATTTCTATTTAAATTTATTAGGCTAAAGTATATATTTAGTGTTTTAACTCTATACAAGGTTTCGTTTTGATCCCTTAATTTTATAAAATATTTTTTTAGTTTTTTAACTCTTACACCATTTGTTTTATCACATAAATTTTTAAATAAAACATTATCCTCAAATATTAACATATTAATTTTATTTTTTTAAAATCACAATGATTGACATAAAAATTAATCATTTGAAATTAGTGATATTAGGATTAGGAGATTGAAAAAATATTTTATAAAATTAAAAGACTAAACCAAAACCTCATATACATTTAGAGGATTAAAAATATACTTTAGCTAACTTATTAAATATGAGTGAGAATATAATGTAAATTTAAAAATTTTCATTTAAATAAAAATAAAATTACAAGTTTATTCTGCTTTTAAATAAAATTTATATTTCAATGAGATAATTAAACATGTTTTATAATAAAAACGGACGAGAGTATATCAATTGGCTTGTTTATTAGGTACAATGTGACAATTTCGGTGTAAGCATCCCAAACAAATCCACTACTTTGATTTAGAAATTACTTATCAAAAGATTTGACTTGATTTTTATTTCTTTCAAACAATTTTACCTATGACTTTATATTTAAAGAAAGTACCAAATCATTTTTCTTGAATTAAATATAATCAAAATAAATAAAATTTACATCCATTTCAAGTTTAATATAAAATAATTCCTTTTTAAAGTAAAACATTTGTTTATGGTTAGAGAATGAATAAAAATACAACACAAACTTATTTTATTAAAAAAAATAAATTACAATCATAGTTGTAATCATTTCCCATTTTACTCGTTTACCCAAAAAAGAATCCCCCACCACTTTCCCCAAGAATCTAATGGCAGAAGCAGAAGCAGAGATCCTCGCAACACCAGAGTTATGATCACGTGTATGTCATCACCCCCTTGTAATCTACGACGGCATCTGAGTCACGAGGATCTAACAAATCACCGCCCTTGGATTTCATCCAAGAAAAGAAATCTAATCCGACGGCTGCCACGCAGATGCGGTCAGAAGAGAAAGATCCTTCCATCCCAACTTGAGACACCCATTCTCTTCCACCAGAGTGTACCCTCTCCATGGGTACAGACCCAGCAAGAGGCTCGCTTGGGAGGCCGGGTTGCCCCGTAGAGACACGGGTCGGAACCCGATCCGCCTCAGCTCATCGCCCCATCTCTCGACCTTCACTTCACCGGTCCTCTTGGGCCCACCAACGGCAACGATGTTTCTTATCTCGCACCCAAACAGCTGCTGCTCCACCGTATGCCTCTCTGTGCTGTCCCCACTCAATCCGTCCCCGAGCGCGTCGAACAACGCGCTGTAATAATGCAAGGCCTCCACGAACCTCGCGAGGAAGCTCCCGGCGTGACTCAGATCCTGTTCCACCGTCGTGATCAGCTTCGGCCTCAACAGAGTCAACAACCTCAACGTCCCCAAATCGCTTCCGGTGATATCGTACAAGCAATGGTGCATCCAATGGACCACTATGGCCTCGTTCGGCCTCACCCCGAGTTGACTCAGTTCGGTTATGTTTCCGATTTTACCCTCCACAGGGTGGAACTCGAAGGGTAAGCTGAGTGAGCTTGCGAAGTCGGCGAGCCGCCGGCCGGTCGATTCGAGCAACTCGGAGGAGGATCCGAACCCGGTGATCCTCATTGATCGGATCTTCCTCGAGCGAGAGGCAAGGATGTGGAACAATCCTGGCCATTGAAGGCCCTGCATGATGTCCAGGTCGATGACGTGGACGCAATCTTCGCCGTCGAGGGCCTGGAAGATGGCTTGGTTGGCTGTGAAGTGCGAGAATTTGACGAGAGGAGAGACGGAGTTGTAGGATTGGAAGGCGTTAAAGATTCGCTGAGACTGAACGAGAGTGTGCGATTTCGTGGTGAGAGGCGAGTAACTGCCGAGGCAGGAGCTGACGACGCGCGCCTGCAGCGCGTGTGCAAAGTACGCGCCGACGCGTTCCGGCGACGTCCCGTACGGCGAGGACAGCTCTGCTATCTCCGGCAAGAGGTCACTGGCATCATCCAGGTTGTCCATGGCGACGCACTCGGCACATTGTAGCAACAGCCCGAGAAGTCTAAGACCAGTTGACTCGGTACCTTCGAACAGCGGCTCCTGATCCTCATGGCCTCCCCCTTCCTCGACAGTCTTCTCGCCGGAGACAGAGGCCTCGCCGGAGAAATTCCTCCCGGAGCTCGGCCTTTTGAACGAGGAAGGATCATCACCGTCGCCGGCAGCATCATCAAGGTCACGGTCGACGCGCTTGGTCTTCATGGCGGAGGAGGCACCGTTAGGACGATTAGTCTCAGAAAGAGAGGATCGAGGGACCAAGCTTTGAAGCATGATCGATGAATTGATGAGAGAGAGAACGTCGTGAAGGACGGGAGAGAATATGAAGCTTTGGAGGAAACTTATGGGTTAAAAGGGACAAAAGTGAGAGAGAAAGACAGTGAAGGTTTTAGTGATGCATCAGAGAGAAGGTTTGTCAGAAGGAAAAAGGAAGGGAAGAGGAAAAGTTGAAGGGGGTGTTTGGGGAGAGAGAAAATGCGAGAAAATAAGTAAGAAAAGAATGGGACAGAAAGGTTGATAACTTTTTAGCAGCTGAGAAAAAGTTTGGGGTTAGGGATGATTTTGGGTGTTATTATCCTCGTTAGGTGCTCCGTTTTGTGTGTCGTTATGTTCGTTTTTATTAGTGAAGCATGTGTTGTGTGTTAATGGGAATGGAGAGGCTAATGACAGTGATTAAGAGATTGATTAATAGGAAATTAAATTTGCTAATTTCGTCATCTTTGGATGCTTGTGAATTTGGGGCATTGGTTGTGCCAAATTTCCAGAGATCAATGTTTGTCCTATGTCCCCATGACAATGATAAGTCTTGTTTAATAAACTTTCTTGGAGTATAAAATTTACTGATAATGACCTCTTGATTATCGCATCAGTTTTCATTTTATTTATATTTTTTTAATCCTCAACCACAATAATTTTATTTTATCTTCAAAATTATTATAATTTTATTGCCTTTGTAAGTTCAATACTACACTAAATTCTCTGCTCTATTCTTAATTATAGAATAAGCTCACGGTCTGCTTGGATTGAAGAAATTTTTTATTTTAATTTGGACCAAATTCATTTAAAGTTTATAGATATGGATTTGGTTCCATTTTTTATTATAATTTATTTGTGATTTTAAATTTTCTCTGCACCCCAGTAATTTAAAACTCTAATCATTTTTAATATCTTGTTTTCTTCATGCTTTTATTATTAATGTTTCTATAACTCTCGTATTTTTTTTTATATCTCATTCTTGATACTCTCTCATTGATTGAAAAATATAGATAAACTCATTACTTTTAAAGGATTTTAAATATATAAATTTTAAATGTAAAATTTAAAATTTATAATTCAAATTCAAATTCAAATTTATCAATTCAAATGTTATCTTGATGAATTTTATCTTTTTTCAATCAACAAGGTAGCAACATGTAGCGAATAGTTTTAAATTTGAGTTACATTGAAGGACATTATTTTTAAAGATTATTCTATCATATTGGTCTGTTCACACAGCAACTCCTTTATATTAAATAAACTTATCCTGTAAAATAGTCAGGGGTACAGAACAGTAAAAACTAACAAAAATATACTCAGGCAAAGTTATGTTAGAAAGGAGGAGAGATAGCCCGGAAATTCGAAGGCCAATGCGAATTGTTTTGTTTGCATGCAAGACTTTATATAAGGCGTGATCTAGACATGAATGTTGGGCACTTGCTGGATCAATGATGATAACACACCATTAAGCATTGGTTACAAGAGCATTAATCAAAACACCTGGTTAATGACTATTAAACTAAAACCTAGCCAAAATCCATGATTTCCTAATCAGCTATCTTAAATTAATTAATATTTATGTTTAATGAATCAACTGTTTTCAATTGCGACTATCCTGTGTTGACTAGGGGTGAGCATCGGTCGATTCGGTTCGGTTCGGTCTTAAAATATGCAGAACCGATCGATCGAAAAACACTAAAAATGAAAACCGAATCGAACTGAACAAAGACCGAACCGAAATTTGATAATTCAATTCGGTCGGTTAATTCGGTTTTTCGGTTTGAGCCTATTTTTTAAATATTAAAACAAACAACACTACAAAATTGGGCCTTTTTTTCTATTCATTTTTTTAATATGAGCCCATTCTAATTATACCCATATGACATAAAGCCCAAATATTATAAAAGCATGGATAATCAAATAAACAACCATAAATAAACACCGATGATCAAATAATAGCCTCATAATCCAGTCATAATATCTACTGATGAGAGTGACTGATTGAATTGGGGTTTCAAGTGATGTTATTATTTTTTATTCTTTATTAAAATAAAAAATAAAAATAAAAATAAAATAATTTATAAATTAAATATAATTTATAAATTAATAAATTATATGTAATTCGGTCGATTCGGTCTATTTGATTTTAAATTTTACTAATCGAATCGAACCGATCAACCGAAATATTTAAAATAAAAAAACCGAATCGAACCGAAAAATCAAATAAACCGAATCAAATAAACAAAATTCGATTCGATTCGGTTTGATTTTTGGTTTCGGTTCGGTTTTGCTCACCCCTAGTGTTGACCTATCTCGTGCACACGAACTCACTTCTGCTCTTAACCTATTTACTAGCTTACTTTTACTTCTTGACACTTATACCCTTTGAGTTTATCTTATATGAGCAATGTAAGACTTATCATTTTGAGACATTACTCAATCTATTATAACAAACTTCACTGCTATTAAAAAATAATAATTAATATAATTAAAATTGTAAAAAGATATCTGACTTTTTAATATTATCCTTCACTAAGAATAATCATAATGAAGCATATACCATGTATTTGCTTTATAATTAAAATCGAAAGGAATACATAATATAAATACTACAAATAATATATATACACGTGTGTGTAGCTTAAAATAGCTATCAATCTCCGATAAATGTCTCTTTCTTCTACCCCCACCTTTGACTATGGTGACAAATAAAATAAAACAATATTATTTTAACACATGAAAATATTGTAATACACGTATTATTCGAAAGTCACATCAGACTCTACTAACTAATTAAGTTGAGTTGGATAAAATAACAAAAATGACAAAGCCCCTCCCAACACTCATATTTGTATAGAAATCAAAATAAATATTTTACTGTTATTTGCAAAACTATAAATACTAGGTGTGAAAAAGACCCTAAGTTTTAAAGATAACAATAAGTTTTTAAACTCACTTATTATAATTTATCTGAATGTAAAGATGTAAAGAGATTAATACAAATAAGTGTTTTTAATTGATAATAATGCAAAATACAAAATCATAATGGTCATGACTTGAAAAACTGAAAATGATCCTTAAGCTACATGGAAATGCAACATAAATTTGGATATTAAAAGTATGATGAACGTGCTAGCAAACGTTGTTGATTGTTAATGTCAATCCGTTTTCCTGTGGTTCTCTAGTCCTTTTATAAGCATTGGTATGAGATCATTACTTTCATGAGATTCGAAGCCCATTTGCTAAATATCAAGAACCACTTGGCACGTTCCTGCAAAATTTGTGACACATAACATCATATTTGTTTAACAGTCTCTTTTGTTTAGTCATCTTGAGTTTTGAGAGTTACGCCAAGCTCGAGCATGGCACTCCCTTTTCCTAGACACAAATTGAGGTACGCTTCTTAGGTTAGTTGTGTCATTAATCTTAATTCCTCTCCTTGCTTTGGGTTGGCATTTTAACTTAAAACCCAAACACTTACATTTTTATATTTTGTGCAGTAATTTATGAGATTTTTTTATATATTGTATAAAGTTTGATAAATAAATTTTGTGAAAAATAATATGACTTGTTTAAAAATGCTCTGAATTTATTTTGATGATACTACAAACATACGACTTTTGTAAAAGCATGTGCAGAGCTGAAAATTGTTTAGTCACAATTAGTTCTGTCATTGTATACTCTCTCAACCCCATTTCTCAATACATTTTTTAGGATAATTTAATATCACAAAAAATTAGATGTTTTGAAAAAAAATAATCTTTCATTAAGTATGATTATTTCAATATTACCTTTCATTATTTTACTCAATAAATACATTTGATTCCCTCTCTCTTATTAGTGAAAGATAATTTTGAAAATTTATAAGAAAAATTAAGATTGCAAACTACTTTTAATAAATTTTGTGTAATTTTGGGGAAAAAACATATCACTTTATAAATTTGGGACAAGGGAGTATAATGTAAATTTTTTTAATAAATTACACTATTTATGAATCACAAACTCTTTGACTCATCTTTTAAACTCAATAACCAATGTTTTTCTTTTTTGTTTTTGTTTTTAGGGATTTAACTCAATGAGATACTACTGAATAGGAAGCAATGGACAAACTATAAAGCACCAAATTAAAACTTGTATGATTTTGTATAAGGATTTTCAAATTGTCATAAATGCATGCATATCTACATGAATACATGCAGCCGCGGAGGGAAGGGGATTAGCAATTTTTTTTTTTTTTTTGAGTATTACATACATGTTATATATTTCTGACTCCTCTAAAATTTATAAAAATTTTATAGTAAGGATAATGTATTTTTAATCATTTAAGTTTAATTTTTATTAATTTAGTCCTTTAGTTTGATTGGGTTATCAATTTGGTTCTTATTGTTAAAAAAAAAAAGTCACACTGTTAAAATTTTCTGGTGGGGATAAAAAAATATTGATGAAAGTCATGTGAATTAATGAAAAGAAACATATTTATTTAGATAAAAAAATAGACTTTGCAATTTTTTCTAAAAAAGAAGATAACAAAACATAGCGTAAGGGATTATATTAGTAACAATTTAACTAATTTGACGGTCAATTTATTTTTATTTAACTATATATACATATCAAATCATCAATATACTTCACATGTTTGATAATTTTGAGAGTGAATTTGCGTTTTAAAACTTAAAGAACTTATATCATAATATAATAAATTATATTTGACAAAACCAATAAAAATTAAATTTAAAGGATCAAATAAAAAACTGAAGTAAATTTGAGGGAATAAAAGTTTAATTATCCTTTTATAGTATGTATGCTATTCGTTTATTTATAAAAATATCACGTTATTTTTTGCCAACAAATCTTTGATAAATATTGATAATCGATTGGGTTTTATATTTATCTGAGGTTAATAAATAATAAAAAATAATAAATTTTTAGTGATATGCATTATACTAATTGAGCTTAAATAAAACCTTGTCTTACCATTACCCAAAAAGAAAAAGAAAACTCCTTTCTCATATTCCCTGCTTTGAACTTAGCTTCTATTCTCTTCTCCTGACTTTTCCATTTTTAGATTTAATCTTCAATAGACAAGATTTAATATATCATAAAGCTATTATCATAATAAATAAATAAATAAATAAATTTAAAGGAATAAAATTTGACTTCAACAATGTAAAACTTAAATTAAGAAAAATATTTTATAAACTGATTTTTTTTTTAGGAAAAACACAATATAATTACTGGTTCTTATAGCTTTATTAGATTTTACTTTTAATCCATGGAGCTATAACAACCTTAATAACAAACATCA